AAGCATTTTAACCGCATTAACTAAAGCAGATGCTTTAACCAAGACTGCTGGACAGAAGCCCTCTGGTGCTCCAGGAGAAGAGGCGGATAACTAGTGACTCAGATGAACAACATGAAGATACCAGCAGATGTAAAAAACAATAACTGGCCAATGTGGACACAAAAATACACTGGCATATAGACTGAAAAGATATAAGTGCAAGAAGGCAGAATGGGTAAAGGAGAGACAGCACACCCTGGGGCTGTTCAGGCGCTGCTGTTTTCATGCGTATGTTCATGCTCAATCAGAGCCAGAAATGAGTGCTTTTGCCCTGGGTGACTCTGACTTCAGCAGACCGTTTGGTTTACTACACTAATTTAGTAAAAAGCAAGTACAATTTGTTCTTGAGTGCCTCGGCGAGCATTAAACAGAACATCCATGTGTGACATGACCCCTTTCTCTTGTATATTTTCTCGTCCTCCTCCTCCTCGCTCGCACTGAACTCAGACTTTGTGTTCTCTTTGCTGCTGATTTGATTTCTTAGTGTACCATTCAAACCGCACACTGTCCTCATTGCCAGTGAAGAGTTTTTGTCATTGACAGCTAGATTTATATAAGCTTGCAGTGTGAACTAAACACTGAGTCATATTCTTCTCTGAAAGTGCTCAACATCTGCCATTGGCATTCAGCTTTTAAAATCTCCTCATTAGAAATTCATTAACACCTAATGAGTAGGTCTCTAAATTAGTCGCACTAGCAAACGTTCCAGTTCCGAATGGCATTCGACCACAATGTCCCAGCTGATCCATTACAATTTTTCCAGACCTTTCAAAACTGAAAAGATCTCCCTGCAGTACAAAAAGGCCATTTATTGGAACTAAGCTGCAAAAAGAGGTCATTCGGAAAGCTTTGGTGAGCAACTCGACCTGCTCAGGCAGCAAAATAGAAAAGGGAGGATTTATAATTTCATTATTAAAGAGAAAAGGATAGCGTGTAATTCCAGATGGCATGACTAACAAGCAAGATGTGAGGGGCGTTTGCCAAACTTTTACGAATTTTGGTCTTAACATAGCCTCAACATCTGTGCACAGCCTTCATCAAAAAGCTCAGTGTTAGTAAAGATGAATAAACTAAGTTTATTGTAATAGTAGCTATCATTCTATAGGTCTGACCTTTACATGGTTATGTTGTAGTATTTCAATTTTAGAGGCTTTCTAGAGGCCAATACTAAAAAAAGAGATGGGCCGACTATTCCCAACAGAAAGTTTATCAGACAATTAAGAATTTTAACTTATTTCATAAACGCACTGAAACATACAATATATTGTCAAACGTTTTGAAACACCTCTCCAAAACATTCAATTCAGCTGTTCTAATCCACTTTCATAAAATCAAGCACCTGGGCACCTAAGCACCTGCTTCGGCAAACATTTGTGAAAGAACGGTTTGCTTTCAGGGAATTCAAGTCAAGCATGGTACTATGATGGATTGTTCAATTGTGAAATTTCCTCACGACTAAATATTCCACAGTCAACTGTTAGTAGTATTAAAACAAAGGGGAAACAACTGAGAACAGCAACTCAGCCACAAAGAGTTAGGCCATGTAAAAATCAAAACAGGGTCAGCGCATGCTGAGGTGCACAGACATCATCAACTTTCTGCAGAGTCAACAGCTAGAGACCTTCAAACTTCATGTGACTTTCTGATTAGCTCAAAAACAGTGTGAATTGGTTTCTGTGGCAGAGAAGGTGCATCATCAAGTACAATGCAAAGCGTTTAATGCAGTGGTGTAAAGCACAATGTCCACTGATCTCTAGAGTAGTAGAGAGGTTTTCTCTGGAGAGAGCAATCATGCTTCTCAGTCTGGAAACCTGATGGAGGAGTCCGGGTTTGGCAGTTGCCAGGAGAATAGAACTTGACCAACTGCATTGTGCTAAATGTAAAGTTTTATAGCATATGGTTGTTTTTCAAGGGTGGATTGGCCCTTTAGTTCCAGTAAATGGAACACTTAATGCTTCAGCATAATAATTTATTTTGGACAATGTTATGCTCCAAACTTTATGAGAACAGTTTGGGGATGGCCTGTTCCTGTTCAAACTTTGCTGTGAACCAGTGCACAAAACAAGGTCTGTGAAGACAGGGTTGACTAAATCTGGTGTGGAAAAACATAACTGACCTGTGCAGAGTTCTGACCTCAACCCAATAAAACACCTTTGGGATGAATTAGAGCAGAAACATAGAGCCAGGTCTTCTTGTCTAACATCAGTGCCTGACTTCCTATGGTCCTAAACCTTGAGGAAAGTCCTCGCAGAAGAGTTAACGCTGTTGTAGCTGCAAATGATGGGGCAACTTTGTATTCAAGTCAAATATTAGGGTGTCAAAGAATGTTAATGCACATGTAAATGCAGATATCCCAAACTTTTTTTTAAGTAAAATGCATTTACAAAGAAGGCTGTTGAGAGAGCAGTTAAATAAAATGTGATGATGCTATAAAAGCTTGACCACAATAACATGACAAAATAAGATATTTGATAAATACTGTAGGATATTTTTTATTTACTAGTTTCCATACCCAATAACTCAAAAAAAATCTTCTGAAAATGACTCCTCTGCAGTAAAAACAGCATGTGTCCCTACCTGACCCTAAGCCTCTTCTCAGACATATAAACATATGAGTTTCATATAATCTGGGCCTCCCTCCATTACAACTGTGGGTGGTCTCGAACACTAATTAGACATTTATATATCAGCATGTGAGAGAATCAGGACGCTTATAGAACTTGCTATATAGCTCAAATAGGCACTGAGCTATCATTTCAGCATGGTTCACATTAGAAAGGGCTGAACAATGTAGAACATTCTAAGTAATTTATATAGTGTGCTGTAATCATTTTATTCTAGAATGTCTGTGTCATGCCAGACGTAAGGTTTTCACAACATCTGTCTGTCTGTCTGTTTATCTATCTATCTATCTATCTATCTATCTATCTATCTATCTATCTATCTATCTATCTATCTATCTATCTATCTATCTATCTATCTATCTATCTATCTATCTATCTATCTATCTATCTATCGGTTTATCTATCTATCTATCTATCTATCTATCTATCTATCTATCTATCTATCTATCTATCTATCTATCTATCTATCTATCTATCTATCTATCTATCTATAATCCTAGTGCTTTGCTGATCTAAACATGTTACTGTATGTGCACATCTACTGGTATATTTATCAGTGGAAAAACCTGTGAAAGACTTATGAATTGTGTTAAGAAATCAAAACCTAATCAAACACTTGAAGTAAGGTTTGCTGCAAAAAAAAAATATATATATCAGCACTATGACTGCAAAAAAAGAGAACTTAGCATGTTTCTGCACTCTGCACCATTTTATTGTCACATCTTCTTTGGTCTAGATCGCATTCATATTTCAAAAAATCTGAACCACAGTTTGTTTAGAAGTGAAACAATACATAATTTTTCAGCAGTCTTAATTCACTAGATACAAGCAAACTGAGACCTATTGATGATCCATTTGTTGATGCATTCAAAAAAGTTTGAATGGCACCGTTTACACATGACCAACTGAACTGCACTAACAGAATAATCACACCATAGTTTGCTTAAACCAAACCTGTCAAGTGCATTCTTAATCTAATATTATGCATAACAGATAAGGTATTACACTCTATCCTGACCCAGTATTATCTGTTCTTCTCCCATAATGTAACTTTGTAAATTTGCAGTAATAATAAAGTGAAGGAATAATTAAGTATAGCCATCCGCAACTCCCCTGATACAAACAGTCTGAATCCAAACTGTCTGAAAATACACGACAATGTCCAGCAAAATAATAATAATTATAATAATAATTAACAAACTAAGTTGCAAAACAACAGAGACTGGGAGGACATTCACTGGAAATGATCATGCTTTCCTCCTGGCCAGAAACTCTCTGTTCAAGGCATAAATTGCAAACAGCAGTGACCCAGCTGAACAGATGATTTATTGTAGGTGGATGGATGAATACAGTGTGATCACACTGTCATGTGCTGATAAAGTGGCATGGTCCACTCAGAAGTTTGGCGATGCAGAAAAAGTGTCAAAAATATGTGTCATCAAAAAGTGATGTCATGGTGAATACAACAGGTTGTTAAAGTTAGTAAGATGAACGTGTGACTACCTGATAGACTGAGGAATCTTCTTAAAGATATAATTAAGTTATTGCTAAGCCAAGGGTCCAGTTACTTTACAAAACTCGATTAACCAAAATATTAGCTAAATAAAAACATACAACAGTCAAACAGTCTCTAAATCTAATGACGACTGTGAAAAGTAGCAGCTGTGACTGACGGTGACGTAGTGGCTGTCGTGTCTGTCATTGAACAGCAGCCTTATAAATATTTGAAACGACCGTTGAGGCAACAGCACAAAACAAACATTCAATGCCTATAAAAATAATTTATTACGGAAATCTATTACTATAGTTTTAATAACTATTATTTACCCCCAAGAGAGCGTAAATTACAATAGACAACATATATGAATACAAACATCAGCATTACAAAATCAACAACCCCCATAATCGTGTTAATTATTACAATTTACAACAATACTAGTAACATAAACACTGTCACCCTTGTCGCGGACCAACGATGATAAGCCTACCTGAATACACTTCGGTTTGTTTGTGAGAGGGGCTTGCGCAAATACACTGTCACGACAAAGGCCAAACAAATTACTTCCCTTTAAAAGTTCTTCAAAGTATTTTTTGCCATACTCTAATGTTTAGCTACAAACTTACAAGCAAGCACAGTGTTGTCAAAACGATTACAGCCCCAGACGCTGTCATTGAGGCATTTCTGACAGATTAGTATCTGTTTTACAGTCGTCAACAAAAATGAGACGTGTAGTGATATGAGGTATGCTGGGATGTGTTCATTTTGAGCATCAAGATCCACCACGGTCCCTCCATGAGACGCGGTGTTCGCGCGCTTGTGTTGCTGCAGAGACTCACCTAACTTTTGCGGCAACAGAAGAAATCGCATCATTCCTTAAATTCTTCTTTTTGGACACGGCAGTTCCCATGCTGCAGTGACAAGACCGATGTGAGAAAACAGCTCATTCCACTCGCCACATCTGCAATGAAGGAAAGAAAAGCACAACGCAAACAAATCATCCGCAGAGTGGAGATACGATCGGCTTCACTCTACTCCCCGAATCAAACTGCTGCTCAGGGTCTGTGTCAGATGCTCCGTTTGTTCCTCATGTTTAGGAACGCCACATCCGACTGTATTCACTACGAGAAGTAAGTTTTTGATCTCTGGTGAAGAGAGTTTGAGTTAACAGAGCATTGTGGACGGTGAGCTGCCAGCACGCCAGAATGCGCTCGTGCACTTGCTCTGTTGTGCGCTCGCTTGCTCTCCCTCCGTCTCTCTCTCTTACACACACGCACGCACATTTTGTGATTTATGAGGACTCACCATATGCGTAATGCATTTTATACTGTAAAAACGGCTTATTGTGGCCTTTCTCGACTCATGCTCCCTAAACCCAACACTCACATAAAACCTGTGACAAAAACACGTTAATTATTTTAAACAGTTTTAAATTACGAGGACACAAATATCATCATAATCCACCTCAACATTGTAATATAGGTACGCATTACGTTATACAAAAGTGTGTCCTTAAAAACAACATAAATAAGCACACAGAGACAAGCAGCTAAGTTTCTGCTGACGTTTTAGGCCCTCCTGATCTTAAAATATTTCCTATCCACTAATAATAACCAGAAACCTTTTGCATTACTACATTTCCAGATAAACATGTTAACTTTGATTTCCCTCGTGAGGACCATTGGCCTGTCCCCACAAAGTCATAATGTCAGGTTTACTGTAGAAGACATTTGGTCCATTAGTCAAAACATGACCCCCCACCCAATCCCTCATTTTGAATGCTCCAGAAAGTGGTAATAGTACTATATAGAAACTGGCTCAGCTTGTTCTTTAACGTCAGCTTTTAAGTAGACAGAAAGAACAAACCACTGAGTACACTATATTTAATTAAAAGGTTTAGTTCTTTAAAAACTACAAGGAACTTACGCACATTTAGCAAAATAGTTTCAGAAACAGGAGAATCCTGAACTCAAGGGGTGTCAAACTAAATGCGGTATATCCACAGCTGTTTTTCAGCCAAAGGCAAACTTCCGGTGAAAGCTTTCTGTGACTATTTTAAATTTTGTGAGGTTCCTTTTACAGTATCGACATCGTAATGTAATTAAAATACAATCAGTTAAATAAACTTAAGCATTCATTTAGTTTTTCAAGAATAAAACGAGATAGACCGTGTAACTGCTAGCACCGTCAGTACAAGCAGGCTACCGCAGAAACTCAATTTAAAATACAGGGTAAAATAAACTTTCATATTATAAAGAGATGGCAGGGGAAAATGGAACGTAATGCAGTGCTACTTATCTGGTCTAAGACCTACTTTATATCAAATATCTATTAGGCAGTAAAGATCACTTTTTTTTTTTTTAAGAAAACAGATCTTAAACTTGGCTATTTTGTAATGGAAAGACAGTTCACTGGAAGCCATCGGACTGGCTGGCTGAAAATTAAAAGTCTGTGTGCTTATAACCTACTCCTAGAGGGCAGCAGTCCTGCAGAGTTTAGTTCCAGCCCTGCTTCAACACACCTATCTGTAGGTATTAAACACGCCTAAAGCACTCAATTAGTTTGATCAGGGTTGTTTGATTAGGGTTGGAACTTAACTGTGAAGAGCTGGGGCCCTTCAGAACCTGAGTTTTACACCTGTGGTAAGCATGTTTTTAATTTATTACACATTGTGTTGCTGAATAATATTGACTGTAAACTTCACACACAATTGTAAGACCAACAAAAAACTACTAATATAATCTACAATTTGAGAAAACATTTTACTGGGATAATCTTTGCAAGCCTGGTTTATTTTACTCTGAATAACTGATTTTATATTAAGGCTGATCATTACAGTGATTAGTAAAGTTCTTAGTTTACTGTACTTTACAAGTAAGTAAGAAATTCCAAGTGTTCAGTCAAAGTAGGGTGAATCCGCCACACCCCCGTGCAGTTATCAGCTTCCAGAAAGGATCAGATGTGCTCCAACATTAGGTACATTCAAATCAAGAGTGAAAACACATCTGTTTAGCTGTGCCTTTACTGAAAGAGCACTGCATATGCTAAATCCGACAGAGCACACTATTATGTCTTTCTTTTTCTTTTTTATTACCTGTTTTAACATATTTTAATCTGTTTTTATCTTTTAATCATTTTTAATTTCTTGCTTCTTTTATTCTTGTTTATGTAAAGCACTTTGAATTATCATTGTGTATGAAATGTGCTATTTAAATAAGCTTGCCTTGCTTTTCTTTTTATACCTCTTAGTGTAACTGTCATAATATATAGTTAATTAAATGACTAATGTAAAATGAACGAGTTCATGAACAAACACAATTTAAATAACACAAACAGCAGGCTGCTTTACTGAACAGACAGATTTTAATCAAAATCAATGCCAGATTTTGGCTCCCACAGATTAAGACAAGCGCACTAGAAACAAGAAAAGCTAATGCCAAAAAAAACAGGAGTCAACAAACAGCCAGATATTAAATTTATTCCTTTTTAGTAGTATTATTACAACAGTAACTATTTGGTGGTGTCCATCTTGTTTGTTGAGGAGTTAAACTGTAATTATACTGTGTTCATTGTTCAATTTACTTAATCTTTCTTTAAAACAAAGCGAGTGAGAAATATCTCCTGCCTCATCATTACCATTTTTGTTAATATTTCTAAAGAAAGACTACTAAAATGTACATTCTACAACGTTTACCTACGAAGACAAAGCTGAGACAAATATCACAATATATTATTGGTTTGCTTCCACAATGTTATTTGTAATGTTTTTGAAATAAGGACCTATACCCAGGTGACTAGTTGAAGAATAATACAAAGGATATGATGAAATGTCTTTAGATAAATAAAATAGATATAATTCTGTTAAATGCACATTTAGTGAAGTCCAACTAGATATATTATTGTGTTGTGTTGTGTAATGTTTTATTGTCTTTCATCGTGAATGTGCTGTGGCTGGACTGAATCCAGTCTGCCTCTGCATTGCAGAGTTCGGGCCGAGAAGGCATAAAGAAAAGGGTTCACGCAGCTGTTGATGAAGAAAAGAGCCCCGGTTATATTGTTACTGACTTCTGATTCCCATGACACTTTGATTGCAATAAAATTGTTGATCATACAGGGAGTGCCAAATAGGAAGAAGGTCACTATGATTCTGATGGCCAGTTTTGTCAGTCTGTGTCTTCTGAAAGAAGCTGATTGATTTATCCGTCGGTGAAGTTGAAAGTAGAAGCTTAACAGGCTGCAGAGAGGCGCAACAAACATAACCAGATTCTCAAAAAGCAAGACAATTACTTTTTCGTGATGAGTTGTGTAATCCTGATAACAGTGTAGCAGCCCATCCTTCTTCACCTTGACATTTCTGAAGTAAAGAGCATAAGAAGCCAAAGTTCCACCTAAAGTCCAAATGCCAAAAATCAGCCCTTTTTGGCCCTTCTGTCCAAGCTTCGCCCATCGCTGTGGATAAAGCACCTGCAGGTACCTTTGCACACTCAACAAAGTAACAGAAAGCACACTACTGTAGAGGCTCCAGTAGACGACATAGGAAAACAACTTACACAGTGCTTGGCCAAAAACCCAGCCGTTCAGAAGGGCATAGATCCACAGCGGCAGAAAAATCAGACTAAGTAAATCAGAGACAGCCAGACTCAGCATCAGTTTTGGAGTGAAGCTTCCTTCTTTTATATGACGAGCAAGCAGGACCAGCACCGCTAGATTACCGGGTACACCAAGCACACAGCACAGACCCAGAACAGTACTGGACACCACTGAGGAATGAGCAAACGAAGAACTGTTGAAAATGCTCTGGTTCTGCATGGTTACCTTACAATTGCTGATTTGAATTGAAGTTTTAGGTTCTTGTAACTGAGGAAGCAGTAATAGGAAGTAAACATTGACCACAGTTGTTCACACTTACCTGCTGTGCATGAATGTTCTGTTCATTTTGGCATCAGATGCACATCTTTTGGCATATGGTGCACAGTTTTTTAACACCTTTTTAATGCATTGAAGTGAACGCATGCTTATAAGCTGAGTTGCCACATATCCTTATACATCAGAACTGTTTGCATGTTTAGGTTGATACTCATTTAACCACTTCCCCTGGTAAACAGCTAAATGTGTATTCACCCACACACCCTGTAGAACAATAGTATTTTATTTATGTATGTATGTATGTATGTATGTATGTATGTATGTATGTATGCATGCATGCATGTATTAGGGTTGTCGCGATACCATTAGTTAATGTTACAATACTATACCAGCTAAAGTATCATGATAATAAATAGTATTGCAATACTGTAATTCATAACTCAAATTATAAAGAAAATTGTCAGAAATACCATATTTTTATGTTATAATAGCCTTACTTTAATTAAATTCATAATTCCCTTAATGCCAAAAAGTATTGTTTGCACCTCACTTCACATAAAATGTATTCATTCTTTTTGTTTATTTTATAGATAACTGACCAACAAAAATACATTAAAATAAAGATACAAATTATACCGAATGAAACTAGTTACAAAAGAGCATTTTTCCAACAAAATTAGGCTATCTGAAGTGGTCAAAAATGTTTTAATAGCTACACATCATCCACTTATTTTTATGCGAATTTTGTATATGCGCATAAAAATGGTTGATGGAAACGACGAGATGCGCATACATTTTGAAAATGCGCATAAAAAACATGCGTATAACTGAGTGGGATAAACTTTTTATTCAATAAGAAAAGATGGGCATGAACTATGATGGAAACACAAATTCCAGTATGCATTAAAAAAGGTCATGTGATTTTGTTATATGAGATCATGTGATGATAAAAATGTGTGCGGATGGACAAACGGGCAGGCTGAGCACACTGTAAAACATATGTTGCTTTGGTCATTCTAAAATGCTCTAACCATTTCAGTATTAGTGTTATTATATTATTAATGACCTCCAGAATCAAGAGTGTCTGAGTGTCCACCGCACTCTTACTGCATGTCAGGATTGCCTTCTGAGGCGCAAGTCATTTATTAAATGAAGAAAAGATTCACGCAGCTCACCCCAGCTAATTCCGTTTTCACTGTTGATATTTGGAGCCAAATAATCAGGAAGTGATTTTGTTTTCTTTGACTCATTGGATGGAAACGCTGCTTTATTCTCACATCTTGCGAATAAAGTCCCTGCTCCATCTTGCCTCAACTCACCTGCCTGGATGTTTCAAGTATACATAGTAAGACCTTGATTAGCTTGTTCAGGTGTGTTTAATTAGGGTTGGAGCTAAAATCTGCAGGTCACCGGCCCTCCAGGAACAAGTTTGGTGACCACTGTTTTAGGCAATAACCCAGTTTTGCGCATAAAGTTAATTTACTTTTTTGTAAGGAAACATAGCTAATGTAGCTATTTTGGGTTTTTCATCTACTTTTTTATTTTAGTCTTATCAGGTAACAATCCAAAGTAATTCAAAATGTCACTTTGTGAGTAGTTTTTTTTAAAGAGATTGTCATGGTTGTTGTAGCTACTAAATCATATTAACAGGAACAGAAATGAACCAATTCAGATGTGCGAACAGAAGCATTAGAAAACGTGCAATAGGCTACAATAAAAGGTGCAAATTCTACACAGTTTTGCAACCTTAAACAGCTCTACAGACTATTAAAATAAAACAGTTTATTGTTGCACAAACTTTTCAACACGCAACAACATCTGTTGTAGATAAACCATTAATGACGATACTACCATTTGCAAACTACAGTACAGTAGCACCGTCAGTATTTCGGAGCCATCGTATCCCGGTACTACCATTGTACCGGTAAACCGTGCAACCCTAGTATCCATCCATCCATCCATCCATCCATCCATCCATCCATCCATCCATCCATCCATCCATCCATCCATCCATCCATCTACTGTACATACAAGCTGGTATGTTTTGTGTGTATGATTAATATGATCATAACAGAATTATAACTATGCAGTAGTTCCTACTGAGAAGTAACTATGCATTTCCCCTCATTTAAATGATGCATTACTATTTACTGTATGTTCATATCTTGTATAACCGGCTTTTCAGAAGTAGCTCAGTCCATCAGATTGACAACATTCATGAATAAATCTAAATAAACCAACAAAGGCAGTCTCAGTCTTATTCTTAGACAGCACACAAAAACCCAACACTAGACAAAATGGTAAAAAGTTAAATGTAAACCCTGAATAGGTTCTGTTCTGAGGTCAAGGCAGTGTTAAAAAATATTTACGCAGATCGTTTCTCCTGTTGCGTTTGCTCCATTGTACATGTAGAGTCTATCCATCATGCTAATAGATCCTCCCAGAGGGAAGATGCTGTGATCTGATAGCTCCCTCTAGCACACAGAGAGCCAGAGCCAGCAGCCATTCAAACCAGGAATGTTCATCACCTTCCCTGTACCAGTACTGACTTATTTATTACCTCAAATGATTTTGTACATAAATGTGCCAGAGAGGAAATTTTGAAGGTGGCGGCTAACCACTTCACTTTCACCGGTGCAGAAAATTACATGATTGCTCTAGATTTAAAGGTACATGTACATTGCAATAAATAATGTATTACAGTGCCTCAATATTGCTTGTTTACCCTTTGCTACTCGGAATGATGATATAATAATAATAATAGTAATAGTAATGATATAAAGCTACTGTAATTATGGAAATGTTTTTAATCCTAAGAGTCTCCACTGTAACTCTAATTGCAATAATCTATTTAACAAAAAGATCAAAATTAGAGAACCACACTGAAAAATGATTAATTGGATTTACAATTTTTTTACTTAAGGTAAGTAGTTGCAAACAATTTATATGGGCTGAATTTAAACAAACAAATAAAGTGAAACTTCACTTAAATTAGGCATCACAGTTGCGGAGTCTCGTGATGCTTTCGACCTAGGTGGCACATTTTCACTGAGCTCCCGCAAGCATCGTGCTATTTTTATTATTTTCACTTTGAATTACGTGGCTTTTTTATTTTATTCTTCAGTACTTAACCCCTAAAAATGTCAGGAACAGGTCCCGCTTTATCCCAACAAGAAACCAACACTAGATGAGGCAATAATCGACAGCTAATCAAAGTAACAAAGATGGAGGCTTCGCAGGTGACAGTCCGGCCTAGCACAAGTTGTTACTGGACAAGAAAGTCTCAAGTTTCGAGTCGTTGTTAGATTCAATTACAATTCGTTTAGAGGACAATACGAAACAGATCACGGAAGCGGAGAGGCATCACAGTTGCGCAGTGGGTATCACAATGGCCTTACAGCAAGAATGTCATTGGTTCGAGGCTCGGCTGAGTCAGTTGGCATTTCTATGCGGAGTTTGCATGTTCTCCTTATGTTGGCGTAGATTTCTTCCGGGTTCTCCCGTTCCCCACAGGTCCAAAGACATGCACTTTAGGTGAGTGTGTGGGTGTTTCCCAGTCATGGTTTGAAGCTGGAAGGGCATCCGCTGTGTAAAACATAAGCTGGATAAGTTGGGGGTTCATTGTGCTGTGGCGACCCTGGATTAATAAAGGGACTAACCCGGAACAAAAATGTATGAATGAATGAATCACTAATTTAATTTGTATGAATTCATCTCATTTAAATAGTTTGCAACAACATACCTTAACGATGTTCAGTAAATCCAATTAACCACTTTATTTATTGCATTTGTAAACCCTTGATTTATTTTTATTGATTTATTTTTTTAAATAATGCAATCTTTGTTTTAAAATTAAAAGGGATTTAAGTTTATAACTGTGTTCTACAAAATAACCAAAAACGGTTTATCAAAAAGCCCTTTATTTTTGGAAATGTTATGTGTAATTAGCTATGTTTCCATCCAAAAATGCTAATTAACTTTATATGCAAAACTTGATTATCGCATAAAAGATGTGTGAATAAAGCAGTGTTTCCATCCAACGAAAAAAAAAATTGTCACTTCCTGATTAACTGGCACCAAATATCAACAGTAAAAACTGAATTTGCTGTGGTAGGAGAAGCTGTGTGAATCTTTTCGAATATTTTTTTATATTTTTTGTTTAAAGACGCGAGACACAGAAGTTGGGGATATTTCGTATGTTGTAAGTTGCTAGGCGACAATTAACTGTTTTCTCAGAGGATGACAAAGCTGACACATTGCTGTCACTTTGATACAAGTTTTATTTATGGAAAAAAATACAATTCACTGTTGTGTTTGAGTGTTCTGTGTTTGTCTGAGGTAATTAGTCTACTGAAATTTGCTTATGCCATACAAACTAAAGCTAATCTGACAGTTTTTGTGAAGTAACCCGTGGTGCGAATCATTTAACTGTGTGTGTCTGGAAGGTGCAAGTGCGTCATGCCACTTTTGAGCACAAGCCGCGCACCTCCATAGGAAATAACGAACTTTCGCAAACTCTAGAAAAGACGCGATATGCAGATGGCCCCTAAAAGGCTGTCGTCATTTGTAATCTCCAGCAGTTGATCTTTTTGCACAGACATGATGGATTATACTAATTTGTTGACAAATGGGTTGTGGATCCATTCATTGGCAGTTGGCGGGTCGTTCTCTGGGCCTTTTCCCCTTCACAAAGAAACTTCCCAAAGATGTCCGTTTCTTACTCATTTTGCTGCTTAAGGGTTAAATTTAGGCACTTAAGTGACCGAGATGTAACTGAGACAGTATGGTCAGAGTCAGATAATTTAAAAAAATGAAAATAATTATTGTTTTTTTGTGCAGCCTGGTACCAATTGATCCACAGACCAGTATCGGTCCGCAGCCTGGTGGTTGAGGACCACTGGGTTATAGGATTCAAAAATCTGTAGGAATTTTACAGGCCCTTGCCCTAAATTACTTCAGCACATCTGCAGTGCAGCCACAGAACATTACTAGTCTCTCACACTGCTCTAGTGTGATCTCGCTCCACTCTTCATACAGTCTCTGCACAGTTTGGAAACTTTACATGCAGAGGCCCGACTAATGATGACAGAGCTGATAGAGTGGGACCAAAGTAATGACCGACCAAGGCAGAATAGCAAAATCTAAAAACAATAGTTTAACCAGGGAAGAAAGAGCTCAGTATAGTCAAATGGGCAGAGCAATGAGGTGTCAGAGGAGTGAAGTCAAAAACTATAGATATAAAAAGACTCGCACTACTACGAATAGGGAAAAGTGCAATGCTCTGTGATGCCGCAACAACAAAAAAGTCCCATCTTACGAATAAAATAGCCAATAGCCTGGTGGTTTTTGATGTCTAAACAGATTAGTTTGTAGGAAAACATGCAGGAAGGATTTATGTTGCATGTAGGATGCATCAGCTTCTGAGACAGAATTGGGGCTAGTGATGACTTCCCCAGGAGGGAAAATGGTGAAATTAGATCCAGAATTCCCCAACACACATTTCCCAAATGCAGTGAAGCTCCCTCGAGTGCCTTATCCGGACAGCTTAACCTTTGTTGTGGTGTTAAGTACAGTAAAACAAAGTAAAAGGTAAATAGGCAACTGTCTGGCTAGAATGTGAGGTAAGCAAGGTCCAAAAATGTCCTTGTATGGTCCAGAAGTAAGAATTGGAAAGCTGGCTCTATCTTGAGAGGGGGGAAACTAAACTCAAAGAAACTAAATTGTTAAAATATCTCACTTTGAGGGTCAATTAGGGATGTCTACTATGAAGAGGTAACACAAATAGATTGAGATTCTACAAGAAGTTTTAATGGGTTCAAACATCATCCAACATAAACAACAGAACAAACTGAGGAGCTTAAATACACGAAGAATGGTAATCATTTTTAAAAATATATCATTGAGTTTACTAGTCAAGATAACAAACAGGATATGATGAAATGTTTCATATGCTTTAGATAAGATAAGAAACTGACATAACCACACATCTAAAAAAAAAAAAACTGTAATTTTATAGACAGTACAGTCATAAATGCACATTTAGTCATTAACTGTTACTAATTATGATTATGTTGCGTCATGCTACTTTCATTCTGATTGGGCTGGTCTGAGTCCAGTCTGAAAAGCAGAGTTCGGGCCGAGAAGGCATAAAGAAAAGGGTTCACGCAGCTGTTGATGAAGAAAAGAGCCCCGGTTACATTATAGCTGATATCTGATTCCCATGACACTGCCATATCCACAAAGTTGTTGATCATGCAGGGAGTTCCGAAAATAAAGAAGGTCACTACAATTCTGATGGCCAGTTTTGTCAGTCTGTGTCTTCTGAAAGAAGCTGATTGATTTATCCGTCGGTGAAGTTGAAAGTAGAAGCTTAACAGGCTGCAGAGAGGCAAAACAAACATCACCAGATTCTCAAAAAGCAAGAAAATTACTTTTTCGTGATGAGTTGTGTAATCCTGATAACAGTGTAGCAGCCCATCCTTCTTCAACTTGACATTTCTGAAGTAAAGAGCATAAGAAGCCAAAGTTCCACCTAAAGTCCAAATGCCAAAAATCAGCCCTTTTTGGCCCTTCTGTCCAAGCTTCGCCCATCGCTGTGGATAAAGCACCTGCAGGTACCTTTGCACACTCAACAAAGTAACAGAAAGCACACTACTGTAGAGGCTCCAGTAGACGACATAGGAAAACAACTTACACAGAGCTTGGCCAAAAACCCAGCCGTTCAGAAGGGCATAGATCCACACCGGCAGAAAAATCAGACTAAGTAAATCCGAGACAGCCAGACTCAGCATCAGTTTTGGAGTGAAGCTTCCTTCTTTTATATGACGAGCAAGCAGGACCAGCACAGCTAGATTACCGGGTACACCAAGCACACAGCACAGACCCAGAACAGTGCTGGACACGAGCACATCTGCTGAGATACAGGTAAAAAAGGAATCACAGGAAATGTTCTGGTTGTCCATTATCTGCCAGCTGCTGATGTTGAAATAAAGTCTGAGATTTGCCCAAAAGTATTTCAGGATGTAGTCACAGGAAGTGAACCTTGATCAGAGACTTGTAAAGAGACAGTCATAACATAAGCATCTCTGTAATATGCATCAGCTCTCTCAGAATGCTAATTGTGGTTGATGCTGCATGCTTGTCTTCAAGTGCACTAGAAATATCTCTAAGAACATCGTTTCAACCACAAAAACTAAACTTTCACATCAGGTCGATATGAACCATTACTTAGAACCGTTTGAGTTATGTGTCACTGCTTGTGTATTTTCAGTTGAAGACAAAATTTGCATTACTTAATTTACTCTCTGGAAAATGTTTTATGCACCATATGGCCTTTCAGCTGCAGCCCAGCACTAAGATTACACTCATGAACCCCCAGTGCTGTGAAAATCATACACCCTCATTCAGATTTTGTCCATCTGGAAAAACTTTATATTTCCTTTGGTTTGGCTGGAATAAAAGCATTAAAAAATTTAAATACTTTTAAGGTCAATAACATTCATACCTGTCAACATTGAGTAAAAATACAGGACATCAATTAGCTTCGAATGATAGAATACATAGCAAACATTAGAAAATATTAACAATAAAAAACAAGGTTTAGCCTGTTAAAATCAATGGCCTATAGAGAAATTAAATCAAGTTATAAAATCTTGTTCACTTTTTATTCGCTGTATTTATATGCAGGGTATATGCAGGAATCCTAAAGGACATTTCAATACCTTTTTAAAACATTTTAAAGATCTTCTCAGAATATTTTAAGACCTCATCGCCACTTCAAGTTCTAATCAGTATCAAACCTTTAATGTAATTAAAAGTTGTTAAAAAACAGTTGTAGTTAAATAAATCAATGGAGATCAACCATGCAACAGAACTCATATAAGCTCAGAAGAAAAAAAGCTTGAAAGAATAAATGACCCGGTTGTTTTCAGCGACAAGCTTCATTCACTGTTTAAACAAGTCTTTCTCCAAGCAGGAGTACGCAAACTCACATTATCCCATTTTGCAGTCTGTTTTGCTCTATGGTGTCGATACATGTGGAAAGCGTCACCTTCCTGCATTTGTTGCAAATTACTACGCATCACTTGGAGTGAGGAGCTTGGCCAGATGCACCGCAGCCTTAACCAATCGTATGGATCGAGCACGTCGTTGTAAATGTTAGGAGGAAAATAAATATATTTATGCTTTTTTAGAGTCAAACACTGGACAACGCTTAAACAGAATTTAAGCCCTTGTAAATAAGACCTTGCATTAAGACGTTGTAATATCTTTTAAGGGACTTAATTTTCTCATAATTGCTTTATCCACTTTTACTACTTTTTAAGACCTCACGGACACCCCCATTTTGTTTTGTTTGATAACAGAGGTGTCAAGAATAAATGCACAGATCTACAGGCTAATGAAAGTATTCGATTACTTTAGTAACTGTTTATGTTCACTTATTTGTTTAAAATAAAACACGCAGGACTGACATGTTTACATATTATTAAGTGTATTTGTCTGTGTAAACACACACCCAATGTCTAAAGTTGCCAATTTCGCTCCTTTTTAAAATCATGTGTAGAGTGTGTACGTCAGTCGGCACTAATACAAGCATTCACTGATTCAGAGGGTGCATGGGAAGGGTGACGATCAACACACACCTTTAATGGAAAGAAAGTAAGGGCAGATATTTTTATATTAATTTCGACGTGCTTTCAAGCATAAATAAAGTGAAATAGCTTTTGCAATTATATAACATTTGGGATCAGCTGTGTGTTGATGGTACTTTCACTTTTCATAGAAAGATAAAAAAAACACGGGAGAAAACGAGGAAAATGTGGGAAAAACAGATTGATAGCGAGATAGAATGGTAGAATACGAGAGAATCTCAGCAAAAATGGGAGGGTTGACAGGTATGATATTATTAGCCCCCTTATTTATTTTTTTTAATTGGCTACAGAACAAACTACTGTTGTGCAATGACTTGTCTAATTAACCTAACTTAGTTAACCTAATTAACCTAGTTAAGCCCATATATTGCACTTGAGGCTGAATACTACTATATTCATTCATTCATTTTCTTGTCGGCTTAGTCCCTTTATTAATCCGGGGTCGCCACAGCGGAATGAATCGCCAACTTATCCAGCAACCCATCTCTGGGAAACATCCACACACACATTCACACACACACTACGGACAATTTAGCCTGCCCAATTCACCTGTACTGCATGTCTTTGGACTGTGGGGGAAACCGGAGCACCCGGAGGAAAGGCAGGAAGAAGGCAGGGAGAACATGCAAACTCCACACAGAAACGCCAACTGAGCCGAGGTTCGAACCTGCGACCTTCTTGCTGTGAGGCGACAGCACTACTACTGCGCCACTGCCTCGCCTGAATACTAATATATTGCTTAATAAATAGTAAGATATTGTGTACTGCCATCATGCAAAGACAAAATAAACCAATTATCAGAAATCAGCAATCTAAAATGTTACAAAATGTGTTGAAAAACTTTTCTACGTTAAACAGCATGTGGAAAACATTTGAAAAATATTTTAAAATTCATAGGAGGGCTAATTATTTTGGGACCAATTATATACCCAGCACAATAAGGCACATAAAGTATTTGGCACAATTCGTTGCTATTTCCAGACCAGCTCAAGACCAGCCACATTGTTTAAATAGGGGTTTATTCAGTTTATTCATAACAATTTGCATTTGTATAATGTTATTATTTTTATGAGCAGGATTATTTATTATATGTATATTTATATTTGTTTTAATAAAAACCAATTTAGATTTTAAGACATATGCGTCACTATATGGGGCGTAAGAATAGGATGCGTGTTTGGATTTTTGACCAAACTTTATTATTATTGTTCATTTATTCCTTTGCTGGAAATTAGAATTGAATTTAGAAATAGTTTTGAAACAAATCTTAACAAACTAAATTAAATATGTAGGCTAATGGATGTTTCCAGTGGAGCGCGTACAACACCGTTTCCTTATCCACAAAAGTATAAAGGAGTAAAGAAAAGAGTAAAAGTGAAGTGAAAGAGTAAGTAAAGAGGCCGAATGGAGGAGGCTCATTCTTTATCCTCGCGCTGGAGATGGTCTGTTTTCTTGCTAGTGAAGTGTTCAGTTTTTCCACTTACAAAGTCCGCCATGTAAATACCAAATGTACCATGGCACGACGCAAATGACTCTTAAAAGGAATGGGATATAAGACTGATTGGTTTAATACATGTTATGCTCAAAACACACCCATAACTCATAAAGAGAATAAGCATAACCCTTTTAGACCATGCACCAATTTTTCCGTCCTTAAAATAGCAACGTGGATTCACACCCTTAATGCTTTTGCACCATGAGATTTAAACTTTGTGACTAAATCTTAGAGCCCTATGTCTTCAGCTGTTTATTTTCAGTAACAAAATCTTCTAAACCAGATCAGACTGACAACATTTATGAAACAGTCAGAATAAAGCCTTTTATAAAAGCAAAGGCAGTGTCAAGAACTGCATTTAAATGGCTTGTGTTTTACAAAGCAATGACCTTCAACCGAAGGCCTGCCTTGTACTTAGACAGCACACAGTAGGAAATTAAATTGTAAGCTTCTGTTTGAGTTCTGCTCTCCTCAGCACTTACACAGTGACACAAACAGTAATGATGGAGTCGGTTTTACCCCATCAGTCCAAATGAGAGTTCACGTGAATTCAAAAGCAGATTTGCTTTCGCAGCACATGCTGTAAAAATAGTATCTTTACAATATTTGTCACCAGAACAAAACAAACTTTTCCAGGCATCAGCTATAACTACAGTGTTTAAAGGTCAAAGCAGATGTTGACCGTGGACCGCTAATGAAAACCATACATTAGCATTATGAGAATTTGTTGCAAACCCATGTAGTTTTCTGGAGAAAGAATACAGTCCAAGTGTACAATCACTGCAGTTCGAAAGGAAAGACCACAGCTAAGGAGCCATTCACAAAGAATGCGTCTGTGTGTCTGAAAACAAGAGACGCAACACTCAGTAGTGGTTCTGCCATGTTTTCTTTGTCAGGCCAATTTGTTACCGTAAATAGAAGGTTGCAACAGTTGTCCCACTTCGGTGTTTTTCTGATTGGTCCACTGCTCTGGAACTGACAGTATGACAAATAAACACGTCTAAAAAAACACAGTGATACAAAAGACTAAGGGCTCTAGATCTAAGACTAAGACTAAGATCCATGTGCAAAGTCCAAAGCGCAGGGCGCAAACGCATTAAGGGCGTGTCAGAATCCACTTTTGCTATTTTAAGGACGGAAAACCCCACTTTGCGCCGCAGCGAATGGTCTAACAGGGTTGAGCATACAGTATTCTCTTAATGAGTTATGGGTGTGTTTTGAGAATAAACCAGAGTCTCATCTCCCATTCCCTTTAAGAACCAGCTGTGCCGCGCCATAGCGCATTTGCTATTTACATGGCGAACGTTGTAAGTAAAAAAACTGAACACTTCACTAGAGAGAAAACAGTTAAACAGAGCATCTACAACGCAAGAATGAGAGATGAGCCTCCTCATTGTTTACTTTTGCTTTCACTCTCGTGGATAGGGAAACATGTTGTACTCACAGACATCCATTAGCCTATACATAATTATTTTAGTTTGTTAAGCGCAAAGATTTGTGTCAAAACTATTTCTAAATTCAATTCTATAATTCTAACGAATAAAGGAACATTAATAACGAAGTGTGGTCAAAAAACTGAGTTATATCCTAATACACAAGGCGCACCCTACATAGTGAACAGGTGAACAAATCTAAGCCTGTTTTTAATAAAATAAATATGCATATAATAAATAATACTACTAATAATAAAACCAACATTATACAAAAGGAAATTGTTATGAATAAACTGAAAAAGCTCCCCGAGATTAAGAAGGCATGAAAGTATGGTTTTTATATTTATGTAGGCTGGAAAGTAATTTTTTTTGTAATATTTTAACCCTTTAATTCTTTTTCATGTGTAAAGATATTTGTGTATTGCTGTACATCCTGTGTGTATTATGTAATGTGTAAGCGAGTTGCACAACTTGCATCTGTCACAGTATTTCTGGCAGTTCATTTATATCTATGGGAGAAAATAACCCATTTCATTCCTGATTTTAACCTTTGCAATCCCAAACAGTTACAAAATAATGCAGACACTTCATGTAAATTTTAACTACAGTACGTTGAACAAAATATGCATGCAAAGGAACCAATTAAAGTCATGAATGTAGAAGTTGTGTAGAGTATCCATTTTTCGGGTGAGATGTTAAATCAAGGTCCTGACTCTCTGCGGTCATTAAAAATACCAGGGCACTTCTTGTAAAGAGTAGGGGTGTAACCCCAGTGTCCTGACCAAATTCCCACCATCGGCCCTTACAATCATGGCCTCCTAATCATCTCCATCCCCTGAATTAGCTCTATCACCATCTCT